TTTATCTTGGCTGAATTTTTATTTTTCATATTTGTTTTCAGGCATGTATTGGGTAGAGGTGGGCTGTCTTGCTAATTTAGTCTTTCATCATGCTGTACCACATGTAGGATCCAAATGGGTAACTTATATTTGGTCCATATCACTATTGTATACTTTGGGTTACAGGTGTCAGAAGGACACACAGTGTATCTATTTAGCTTGCAGGACAATAAAGATAATAGAAGGAAAAGAGTTGATATTCTTCAAAGCACTAAGAAAACCTCTCTCTTTGATTCTCCTGAGATCTCAGACTACTCTAAAAACATATATACTCCTCTGGTTATTTTATGATCCATGCAGGATTGCTTCCTTTAGATGGTGATATTTTCTTTTTTAAGGATAATATTCAAATTTGCATTCCATGGTAGAGAAGTACACTATTTATAAACATAGTAATGATGTAATCATGTTCGTAAAGTTTTATTTAATAGTAGCAGTATTTATAAAGTGGAAGATGCACCTTGTGTAAAAGTGTTAATTGTAGTTCTCTTTCTATTCTTATGTTTCCCTCTTATATAAAAATTTACCTCTTCATCTCTTTTCATTTTACTCGGACACATCTTCAATTTAGTTTTTTCTTGCTATTTTCCATTCCTAGAGTTTATTAAGTCTCCTGCACATCTTTTGAGCAGGCCTACCAATTTAGGAAATTATAGAAAGAAACACAGTGATCTTTCAAGTGATGAAATATGAAGATAAATCATACCCTGAAGCAGCTAGCTTTATTTTCCTCATCTCCTTTATCATGTGCCCTCTTCTACAGCCTATCACTGCATATCCAAGGAGAAGCTTGGGACCTATGCCACACATTTATACTGCACATCAAATTTAATAGTAACATTCTGGTTTTAATTAAACTTTTATAAATCTCAGCAAGGTGATCTGATTAAGAGAGGAAATGAGCACCTAACAATGTTAGTGTAAAGATAATAAACAGGTAAAAGAGGGTAACATAGTCTCTAAAAATCTGTGGGGATGGCAGGGTCCAGTACCCGCTGCATATGGGCCAACCCTGCATAAATATATGCACTTGTGCTCAGAACATTCATTCCTTAGTAAGTTTTATTTTAATATAGAGTTGAAAAATTCCTGGATAGTTCAGTCTTGAGCAGGTAGAGACTGGCTTTATCTAGTCCCCTCTAACCCAAACATTTAAAGAGATTTACCACACTTTATTCTTGTAGTAAATGAAGGTGTACCACCTTTTTGAAAGGTTATTTGTACTTTCCCCCTCTTGTCTTATCTTCCTACTTTGTGAGTGATGGGGTTACAAAGACTATCTACATTTGGTTCTATAGTTAATTAGGAAGAACCTGAACTTTCTCATATAACTGCTTTGAAAAAGGGGGCATTCCTTAGGAAAAGGAACTTTTAAAAATGTAGACCAGTTAATTTTCATAAGAGGAAAGCTCAAACAAAAATATTACTATTTGGGTCCAGGAAAGCATCTCAACTACTCATCTGTTTTCAAAATAAAATTAAATCCCAATGCAGAAAAATAAAATAAAATAAAAAATGAGGAGGAAAAAATTCAACCCAAACCCTACATTTCTATAATCTTTAACATTATTGGAACACTGTTACAGCTGGGTGATCAGTGTGTATGTTTTAATTTTCTTCTTTCAGCAATTTCTCCATTAGCATGATATTCTTGTCTTTGTATTTAGAATCATTATTCATGAAAAAAAATTTAAACCAAAGAAGGTTTTATTATCTGTGTTTTTACCTTTTTGTAAAGCAGATAAAGTAAGCTCAGTAGACACTAGCTAGGCTGAAACATTAATAAAAAATGCAATTCAGACTGAGTCACTGCTTGTTATTTTTATAAGTGAGACCTTAATTCTGATCGACCCCAAAGAATGGGTGCTGTGACTAAGCAAGCAGCACAGGGCAACTGCCTTCTGATGGATGTTATCTCATTTGAAACACATTTCAAACTTTAGAACAGATTTTTAAATTGAAAGTTAAAACCTGCAGACTGTCAGCAGAAGAGGCTGTTCACCTTCATAGAACTTATCTTACTGTAAGTTCCAGGCAGAGTTTTTTTTAAAGAGTAGTATATCTTAAAATGTATAGTGATACATCAAAGAGAGAAATACAGAAAAACAGAATACAAAAGAGCCTCCCAGAATAAGGGTGATGCATGCATCTAGACATCTTTTGGGCTTTGAATATATGCTTATTTGAATGGGAACTTCTTTAAATTAGAAGCCTCTGGTTCAGTATAACTTAGGAATGTTCATGGATCTCTTTAAGGCTAATTAAATATTTTTTTCTGCAAATATTTCTTTAGTGGTAAGGGTTCTTTATGTGGAACTTTTTGAGTCATAACTATAATGCCATTATTATTATTGGGTAAATTTGAATGAAGGACCTTGGCAAGGTCCGAAATAAGGAACATCTTATATTAATGGTGGTGAATTCTTTATTAATTGGCCCTTGCTTTCATTTGGAATCATAAAAAAGTTGCCAAAAGTCTAGATACCCAGAAAATTGTGAATTAAATTAAATTAGAGGAACTTAAAGTAGAGGAACTACATGATAGCAATAATAATGATTTTGACCTGACATAAATGTCAAGACAGCATTTGGAGAATACTAAATTGTGTATGAAGAAAAGCTATTATACATTTACTATTTTAGATAACAAAATTCATGATGCAACTGAACTACAGAGAGATATGCAAGGAGTGACCCACTAGAGGTCCCCTCCAAGTCAAAAAAGTTTCTGTAGTTCAAGGGTGCAGCCTTAGTAAATTGGCGCTCACGACTGCAAAGCCAGTAAGGGCCAGAAGGGGGGACCACATATTTCACTTCCTGAATATAGGTGGTTTTATTTAGAATATTTGTCATATTTTATCTTTTCTTTAATGCCTATGTGGGACAATCAGTTAACTCTAATTAGATATTCAGAACTTATTCTTGCCACTTACTGATATATTTGCAATAAAGAAGTATCATCTGATGCCCTGGAACTGCAGTTGTGCTTTCTAGAAATTTTATCTGTTTCAAGTATCTCAGAGCAGTATTTTGTAAGATGTTTCTTAAAAAGGAATCGTGCCTTAGAAGTTAAGTTTTTACTTGCAAAGCTGATGGAAGTGGTGGGTGGAGGAAATAAGGTACACGTTTTCTGGTAGTAGGCAACTTGATAAAAAATGATTTTGTTTCTATATATTATCTTTGCAGAGTTAGCTTAAGAAATGTAAGTGCAATAAAATTATGTAAAAGCCAGATAGTAAAGAACTAAAAGTCCCTATAGAGACACCAGTCTGTCACTTATAATGGCAGCAAAAGATAATTGTAGACAAGTACAGTAGAGCTAAATCACTGCCATTTTCCTTCAAAAATGTGCTGCTGCCTCTCATGTTTTTCTGAAGAAATCGGTTACTTCCTCTGCTTCAAAAGTATGCCATGAACCACCAAAATAGGTAGAAAAAGATTTGCCTTTTTTTCCCTCCAATATATTTTTAAGTAGAACACACCAAAGAACAGGAGATGAGATTCGATCCCTGTGTGATTGTATTTTCCGGTAAATGGTTGGATTTGTTTTGAGTTTCTGAGCTTTGCATTGAAAATCTGGCCTCTGACATAAACTTTGTCCTCCTCCTTTTGCTATCATGAAGACATCTGCTTGATCATATCCCCTTTCTTCACACAACTTGTTTTCCAGCTCTCTAAAATAGCAAACACAGAGCCATGCAAATGCTATTACACAAAGGATGATGCTCAAATTAATCTGGATGGGATTTTTCTCCTGAAGTAGAATCCTAGAGGTTTTCTTTTTCTGGTAAAGGCATCAGCAAGAAAAGAAAGGAAACAAGCAATCCTTGGCCACTGTTTGTATATGCATATTTGTCATTCATTTATAGAAGAGTTAGTATATCCCTGTATTCCTGTTCCAAAATGGGGAGGAGTTTGTACCCCCTGGATAATAAACACTCAGAAAGCCCAGAGCACCTCCGTGCTTCAGTAAGTTAAAGTACTGGCGAAGACCCTGCCTGGTACTCCTCTAGAGTGTGAATATCATAATTAAAATATCTTTATGAAAAAATTAGGGACAAATGTGTGGCTATTCCAGATCTTGAACTTCTTGGTACTTGAATGTTCTCTGTAGTTAACTCAGTGAACAGCCGCTTGAACTAATGGGCCTGCACATAACTCCCCATGAAATATGGATATTATTGCTGCAGTGAAAACACTTCTCAGCATCACACTGACCTCTCCAGCATTTTCCACCTCGAGATCTTTGATAACTCTTGGCAGAAGAATATCTCGGTACCCAAGGAATAATCAGCTCTGAACTGCTGCAGCACACAACATAGCAATGTCCGCTTTTACTCAATTCCGGTATTAACGCATTTGAGTCTCCACTTTTCCTGCATCCGACACCCAAAGCCAGTCGCACTTTGCTCTGCAGCCAGTGCCCGGGAGGTATTAGCCTCTAGACTTGCGCTTGGCCAGCCGTAGGGGAGCGCGAGCGCGCTGCCTTCCACATGACTTTCCCCTGGACAGCGTGCTCCATTTTCGGAGTCCAGTGCTGGACTTCCCTTGCAACCTAAGCATTTCTATGCTATGTGAACCGGCAGGCGTTGCCCCGAACGTGCAAGTAACAGTTTTCTTTCGCTCTCTCCCCAAACCAAATCATTTCTTAAGTTTTTTTTTTTATTGGGAGCAGTCAGGAGTTTTCAGGCTGCCTGATTTTCTGCTTTACCCCCAAAGCCAAGAAATTTAACTGAGCCAACGGAGTCCCCACACAGACCGTTGTGATGTGGGCAGGTGGAAATAAATCAAGCCCCAGACCGCTCCACTGGTCCTGCACACACCAGCGCCCTAGCGAATTGACCAGTCAACTTTGCAAACGCCGGAGCTCCCCAGGCAGCCTCTGCCCCCGGAGAGAAAAGCAGCGGGCTCTTCCCCGCGGCGTTGCACATGCCCCCACCCATCCCCACGGCGCATCTTACCCGAAGGCAGAGGAGCGGTGCCCAGGCTCCCCGGGAACCAGCGCCCGTCCTGGGCAGCCGCGGCAGCGCCGCTCGAGCAGCCGGACCCGCGCGCCCGCCGCGACCCGGGCTCGCAGGCTGAGCAATCCTCTCAACTCGAGCGTGCGGCACCCACCGGGCAGAGAGGGCTCACTCTCTGATTGGCTTCCATCAACGCTACGGAATTAAAAAGGAGAAAAGGCATGCACAACCGCCGCCAGGGCCAAGAGACCGAACCTACTTCCGCTCGCCTTCCTGCGCTGGGGGAGACCCTGCGACCCGCCCCGGGCTGCTCCTGTGTCCGCCGCGGCCGTGGTCGCCGGCTCGGCCGTTCCGCTGCGGCGGCTGAAACTGCGGCTCTCGGACGGGAAGGTTACGGGCTCCGGAGAGCGGGCTCTTGTGGGCACACTGATTTGCAAGTGAATGAAGTGGGAGGGAGCAGAGAGAGGAGGACTTTGTTAGAGAGGCCCAGTGCCTGCCCCCGCCCGCCCCCTCCCCTTGACAGAATGACTCCCTGTGTTTGAAGTCCTGAGCGATTCGCTCCTTCTAACACTCCCTCAGCCCCAGGCTCTCCTTTCTTTTTCTTTCTTTCTTTTTTTTTTTGGCAGGTTAAAACTCAGAACTTGTTTGACTCCTCCTTTATACTATCAAAATGCACCTTGTGCATTATCCGCAACAGTCGGATGTTCTTTTTTTTTTTTTAAGAGACGGAGCAATTAGAATTCTCAGGGACTCTACCTCATTGCGCTGTCAGTTGGGCAGCTTCGTGTTGTAGCACGGGTAACATGCACGCATATAAAACAAACACGGTCTTCTGAGATAACAATACTGATGGCTTTTCTTTACAACATAAACAGGCTTTCCCCAGACGCAGCAGGCATAGATTCCGACATGTCTTTCCTTCTCTCCTTCCAGGAAGACAGGTTTTTACATAGTCCTATGATCTCTCTTACTCCTTTGGAATAACCCCAGGATGTTGTAGCATGAAGCTTGCTTCCCTGAGCTTGCAGAAACACTCAAAACCCAAACCTTTCAGGCTTGCCAGTGACTTATGGGTGATTCCATCTTTCTAAGTGAGTTGTTACAAGGATACAAAAGACTTGCAGAAGAGGGACGTGTAATGATATTCAAGGTCTGATTAATGGTTTAAGATCTTTCAGGAAGTTTCCTCAAGTAAAATAACCTCCAAATTCAACTCTTTGGTACACATAGTAGTTTGAAAAGCTATATATACAGCTACAAAAATGTGATGTCTAATGTTAGAGAACTAAGCTACAAAAATCTTAAGCATATCAAATTATTATTAAATGAGAGTAATGGTTTTCTTACATCTAAGATGCAGACATGATGGAGCCAGGCACTGTTGGATTAGGAAAATTAAATCTAATTACCACAGTGATTGCACCCAGGGTCAGTAGCATCCCAAACCAGCTGTTTATGTATGCTGCAAGTTCACAGGGAGATTTCCATTGCATGGTGCTCTAAAAAACAAAAAATCCAGTCTACTTTGGCCTCTGCTTCGTTAAACTGGTTGGAGATTGGTCTCTTTCCCAATTTAGCTGTTACTAGAAAATCTTTTGTTTCTTCAGTAGAAGTTCAGGCATTTAAAGCCCAAATCAAAGTATTTCCTTTAGGCAGTCAGTGCTTCAAGGAAGTGCGCATGGAACAGTTTTAGCACAGATGTTCCACACATGGAAGATGGAAAGACTTTGAATTTCTTTCTTGAAAAGATCTTCCCTTAATGAAGAATTGCCACCAACTTACAAAAAGAAGCCGAACATTTTCTTTTCATGCACTTATTTAAACTTTTCTGGAGAAAGGAGAGGAGAGGAGAAATCTGCTTCTGATTCACAGTCTATTTCATTCCTCAGATGATGAATTTCTTATCCATTTAATTGGAAATACCAGCTCCTTATGTTTGCATAGTCCTTTACTGCTTACAAAGTACTTTCATAGACTATTTTATTTAATTCTTCTTTCAACAAGTGGTGTGATTTTTCCCCATTAGGACAGAAGAAATAGATCGATGAAGAGATTGCATTGGTTAGATAATATGCCCAAGGCAATAAAACTGGTAAGCAGAATAGGTAGAAATAGTACTGGTAAAACTGTGTGTATTTATCTATCTATACACATATCCATAGATATATAGTATATTAAATACTTATGAGTATTATATGCTTAGATTAGCATATAATTATAAGCTTACATGTATTATATACTTCTATAAATCTAAGTATTGCAGTCAAAATAAGTCACATTTTAAGACTAATTTTTGCAGAAAGATAAGCAAACAAACTGATTTTTATGGTAAAAGTGGGTTATAGTGAAGTTGATGTTATACCCACTGAAGTTAATATCTCACAAAGGAAATCTTTAATTGTTTGCAGTACGTTGTTTTTCAAACTGCAATGAGTCACATATCAAAGGTGGTTAAAAAATAACTGCTTTTCATTAAGAATGATAAACAATCAATTTGCTTCTGTAACAGTTCAAGTGGCAGCATTCAATTACATAAAGGAGAGTACTTTTTACTTTTTATACTAAAAAAGTGTGTGTTTTTTGAGGATTTCTAGTAACATTTACTACAGTCATTATTAATTTTCAATTATACAGTCAATGTAAATATATGGGGTTATTTTATTCTCATTTCAGAGATAAGGAACTGAGGGTTACAAAGGTTCAGTGATTACCTGGTACCATATGTAAGTGCTGTTCCCAGTTCATTCTTGGAACACCAAACCAGGTAAAAAAGAACCTAATTCAAGGTAATTAAACAAGGAGGTCTTTGCTATTATCGTGTAGGGTCTTCTCATGAAATTTGAGAGTGGAAATTCTGCAGGGCCTCTGGAAAGGCCTGGAAGCAGGCACTGAGAAGCCACTGGTCCTCTGCAGTAGCGCTGCTTTCTTCTCACTCTACTTCTTTCCCTTTGTCTCCCTTCATACCTGCTTCCTCTGTCCTTCGGACTTTCAGAGCAGCACCACTGACAGTTCCATAGCCTGCTTGTTGGAGAGTGAGTTTCTCTTTCTGCTCCATTTCTAATTTATTGGAAAGCAACTCTGATTGGTCAGGTGGTCCCTTGCACTGGCAGCTGGGGCTGGGGCAAGACAGTGTCCTTATAAACTGGGAAGACACTCCCCAAAAGTGCTCCATTCCACATATTCTGTTTTGTTTAGTGATTTGGTACAGCTGAAATATCTCATCAGTTTTTAGGCTACTTCATTATTTTATATGCTTCAGTCAAAATTACTTGTACTTCTTTTATAGCTTACAAAGTTTCAATTAAAAAAAAACTTCTTCATAGACCATTACTAGGGATATTAATTTTGATGAGGAATTTTTCAACTTCCACTAAATCTCTCTTCAGATGATTAAAGGGGATTTCTTATCCTTATACTGGGGATGCATATAAATAAATAACTACAGGTTCTCTGACTTTTCAATAACATACATACGAGTGCAATGATAATCTAATAAAAACATTTTCATGAGCATCAACAATTATTCTTGATTAGAAGAAAAAAAGTTCACTTTTAAAACCATGTGTGTGCCTAATAAGAATGTTGGCATGGGTCGTTTTGCTTCAGCCCATCTAAATATCCCATCTAAAATTTACCTTGAACGTTTTGCTATCAGACAAGTATACACATTGCAGTGCCTTTTACTTACTCACTCTGCTGTGCACATGTGAACAGATTTCACTGAGGAGAGAATGCCTGTTCTCCACTTCTGCCTTTTGTGTGTGCATGCATGCACCACTCACATGTACACACACACACACACACACACACACACACACACACACACTAGTGTTTAAGGCAGAAAAAAAGATTTAACCAGTCTGGGTTATTATTGAACTGAAACAAAGGAGACAGGAAACCTCAGCAGAATTACCCTTTTGTGAGAGCCATAGACATCTCAATACAAGCTAAAATAAATTCACACCAACTTCATGTGCTTATCCAGGTTGTCAAATCCTGGGAGATTTTCCAATACTGTGTTTAAGATGGGTTGGATCCCAGGATGCATTAAGATATTTCCCTCTTCATCATTACATTTGACTCATCACTATAGGTAGATTACAATAGCCAGGAGATTTCTAAATGAGATAAATGCACAGCAGCAAAATGTTATTGACCTACACAGGGCATTTCAGTGCTCTGGGCCTTTCAGGGTTGGTTGAGTGGACTTCAATTTTTGCTGAATTCTTTTTATATTTTACCTGTTACTCTGTACTAGAAACAAAATTTGTCTGATCAGATATATACAACTCAAGTTTGGTAGACTGTACTAGTCAATGAAAGGACAAGTCCTTGTTTAGAAGAAACAGCCCAGTAGCAGGATATGTGATATGTCAGTATATTCTCTTAAATAACTGGCATAGACTAGAGTAAGCAGAAAATCCTACATTTGCAGCCAGAGAGAAATATAATTCCTTTCTCCCAATAATACCTCTCCCAATTATAAAAGTACTTGATGGGAATAGTGGCAGGCTGGAGTGTGAAAGGCAATATAATAATATATATTCAAATATGTTTTGATGAGATTTTATAGATTGTGAGAGTATTAAAATTTCACAAATTTTGTCAGAAAGACTACAAGGATAAAGGCAAGAAGAATATTATTCTCTGATTGTAAGTGTTCTCTTTAGGATAGGCCAGACCTCACTTATAGCCTTCTGTTCCTCTTTTGATTAACACTCTCAAACACCCTTTTCTCTTTTTACAATTTTCTTGTGTTTACACCACACTTAAAAAAACACCAGTACCCTGAAAACTGTGGGACACTCTTAAAAGAAATTAAAGAGGACACTAATAAGTGGAAATTCATCCCATGCTCTTAGCTAGGAAGAATTAATATTGTCAAAATGGCCATCCTGCCTAAAGCAATCTATAGATTCAATGCAATCCCTATGAAAATACCTATAGCATTCTTCAATGAACTAGAGCAAATAGTTCTAAAATTGATATGGAACCACAAAAGACCCAAATAGCCAAAGCAATCCTGAGAAGGAAGAATAAAGCAGGGGGAATTATGCTCCATGACTTAAAGCTGTACTACAAAGCCACAGTAACTAAGACAATTTGGTACTGGCACAAGAACAGACCCATAGACCAGTGGAACAGACTAGAGAGTCCAGATGTAAACCCAAGCATATATGGTCAATTAATATACAATAAAGATATACA